TAATGATTTGTTTAAACTCCAAGCTTCTTAGGAAAGGCGTACTAAGTAAAATGAAAATCTTTTGACATTCCAGGAATATGGTTTCATTTGTGTGTGTGTTGAATTACAGATGCACTGGTGAAGAATTCTTGACAATCCAGGACATCGATCTTTCATCATGGGGCTTCTGGAAGAATCATGTGGCCTTGGCTATTATAATTATTATTCTCCTAGCAGTTACCTGTGTACAACTACTCCTCAAGAAAAAAAAAAAAATTTTTAAATTCCTCTATAATTTTCTATAAATTACCCTCACATTCAGAAGTAACTCTTTTGTACTGTAAACCCAGTTTTAAAACCCTGGGCTGAGGAGATCTTATGGGCTAGGAGAGAATTTACTATAGTTTTTTTACCTAAGGAGATTTAGTGGCAAACTGACTTTTAAATGTTTATGCTCATAAGACAAATGCTACACCCAGCCCTACCCATAGAAGCTTCCATTTGAAAAGAACTGTGGTAAATGCAGAGACTGGTAGCTGCTCAGCAAACTGAAAAAGGGACCCTTGGGTGCTCAGCCCCACACAAGGCATTTATACATAAGGTTGGCAACATTTTGGAAGAGGAGACAGAAAGGATTTGTTAGAGTCTGAAGGCAGGGAGAAGGCTGCAAAATGCTATGCTCTGGGCACGACCCAGCCATTGCAGTCATGGTCTGCAGCAACTGCAGCTGCCTGCACTGGGCTGTCATCAGTCGCCTGGGTCAGAGAAGGACTCTTGGAACCACACCCCATCCCGCTGAACTGCTGGCTACAGGTGGATTCTGAGGGAGAGGCAGTCATTGTCTTCGATTGTGAACCCAAGCTGCAATGGATGGTCCAAAACCCAGGGTCAAACAGAGGGCCCTGGTTCTGCTCAGTGAGTCTCAAGACAGAAACCCAAATATATGAATGCGAAAAGGGAACTTGTAAGGGGGGAGGGGTTGACAGGGGTTTGAGGGAGATAGTAGAGGGTAGGGGGTGGGTAAGAGAAAGCAGAATGCATTATATACATGTATGAAAATGTCAAAGAAGAAAATAAAAGTTACAGACCTTGATAAAGGAATTTTTTGTTTTAAGCTATCTATTGAAGATTTTTTTTTGACAATTTGGTTTCTGTCATATTGTAAATTAGTACTGGATTATTTTCAGGAAAACAATCACGAAATAACAGCAAAGTAAATTATAAGTAGAAGAATCCAAGACCCAAACTAAAGTTAAGTTCTGCAGGTTCATTCATCTCATCAGATGTAACCATGAGAATTAAGCAATCAGATTTATTAACCTGAAAAGAACTGAGTTCTAGAAAGTCTTTAGCTCCTCCTGCCACGGGTATCGGTTTCCTCATTTTTATACAGAATTGATAAGTTACTATTTCTCCAAATTAAATATCCAATTAATCTATGATCTGTTGTTATTTGGTAAATAACAAATCTAATGATGCTGTTTATAAGTATGGAATCTAAAATGTATTGGACAAAACCCATGTTACTTCTGTGATTAAAAAAAAAAAAACCGAGGTGCTTTATGTGGAAGCACGTGCCTGCAATCCCAGCACTCAGGAGGTGTGGCAGGGGGATTGCGAGTTCAGGGTCATCTTCAGATACATAGTATGTTTGAGGCTACCTGGGCTACAAGAAACCCTGTCTCAAAAACCAAACACAAAATCAATGACAATAGGAAACTGTGTCTTTGGGAAGCTGATTAAGGTCAGCAAGTCGAGTGCTTCTGTCTAGGGATGTTATGGCTCTGGAGTCTTGGCTGGGGCAATGGCTCTTGAGAACAGCTCTGGGAAACTGGCTCTAAATTGTCACTAACCTCCCTGGGATATCTCAGTGCTGTGCAGTTTGGATAAGAGACTCTCCTAAGGAACTGCTGAGGCACAGATGTTTGGGCCCTGCCTCGACTTGCACAGCAGCCATCTGCAAAGCTGCTTCCATGAAGAACTAGCCACTCCTGGATTTGTGATTCCAAGATCTGTTCTGGCCCTGGAACTTACAGACCATGACTTAATAACAGCTACATCTGTATCTGTACAGGATTCAGGATTCCTTGTTTCCCTCGTTATTGTAATGAAATCTCTCCTAACCTTTTCCGTAATAGGGAAGCAATCTGAATGTTTTTAAACATTTGAAAATATTGGTGGGCAATATATCAAAAAGTATAGTTCAGTGAATTACCGTAGAATGAAGAGACATTGCAAAGCACTCCAGGTCAGGAAATGGATTTCGCCAGCACATGGAAGGTCACCTGGCCCTCTCCCAGTCAGGATTCCCCCTGTCTCCAGTTGATTCTGAAATGACAGGTGTATTCTTCCGTGTTGCTTCCCACCCACTTTCAGCAAATCTTTCTTAACTTACTGAGGCAGAGTCTCACTCCAGTTGCCCAAGCTGGCTTCAACCCATGATTGTCCTGCTTCTGCCTCCTGACTTGCTGGGATTACTGAAGGGCACCCCCACATTTGGCTCAATTTTTATAACTATAGAGATTTTAGGGGAAGTCTACGAAGTTCCATGTGTCCACTGACCAGATATTGTTAACGTGAACACTTTCCTTACCAACATGCACTGGTCAAAGCCAATGTTAACATTTGGACATTGCTGCTCATTAGCCTGAGCACTGTTCAAATTCTTCCATTTTCTTCTAGTATTCTTATCGTTTAGTATCCAATTTAGGAAATACATCACATATAGCTTCCCTTATAAAAAGAAAATAGTTTCAGAAATAAAGTGGTCTAGGTGATCCCTGAATGTGGACTCCTGTGACTAGATTTTGAATAGTACTTATCACATAGGTGTTTTGCCCTATTAATGCATCATCAATCTGGAAAATATAGCCATATATATTTATCTTTGAACTCTAAGGGACAGTTTTCTTATGACTCTGGATTACAACATGATGTTATACTGTATTGTCATTTCTGATTATTTCATGAATATCCAGGTCAATTGTTTTTTCCTATTTTGGCATAATTACATCTATGTATAACATTCTGAAGACATCCTTACTCTTACCAACAAATTGAACCTATCTGCCAAAGGTTTGTTGTCATGTAAACTAAAGGACATTTGGGCTAATTTAATAGTTTTAATTTATGTGAGTATTCACATATCTTCAGGCTAATCTGGTACAATGCAAACAGTATGTGAACATAAGCACACATGTAGATATACAACACACACATGCAAAAACAGACATGGAAAAGTTTTTAAAAACTAAAAAATTTTTATAGATTTTATAGCCTTATCTTTTGTCAGATTTGACTGTTGATCTGGCTTTTTTCCCCAAAGCTAAAAGCAATATCCTTAATTTTAAAATCCATTCTAATTTTTATTTATGTATTTGTTTGTTTTGGTTTTTTGAGACAGGGTTTCCCTGTAGCCCCAGCTAGTCTGGAACTCACTATGTAGACCAGGCTGGACTCAAACTCACAGAGATTGGCCTGTCTCTGCCTTCCAAGTGCTGGGACCAAAGGCATGTGCCACCACACCCTGCTAAATTTATTCTGTTAAAGGTTGACTCCTAATCTTTGAGAGGCAGAGACAGACTATGAGACCCTTCCTTGTTTTTAAGAACCGATCAGCAGAAAAAGGGAGATGTTCTTACAAACAGACATTTCTTTTGTAATGATTTTTAAAACGGACAACGAAATGTCAGAGTTGAACTTTGGATACTTACCTACATAAAATATTTTAATATAAATTGTTTTTAATCAGATGTACAAGTCTATATAGCCATCATTTTGCTTTTTAAGACTTGTTATCTGTGTTTTGTAAGATCAAAGCCAGAGAAAAAAAATCCCAAGAATGAGAATTCATAAGTTCACTATGGCCTGGAAAATGAAGGAGGCCTCCATCCACATTCACAAACAGAATTTCTTCACTCTGGGTATCTATCCTGGGCTTTTACCTCACAGATCCGTTCTGCACCCTTCCTTAAATCAGAAAGGTGCTAAGAATCTAACCACTGGCTTTGCAGTGTGCGAAGGAGAAGCAGGAGAGAAAGCGCTTAGACAAAAGAAAATGAAGTTAATTCAGGATATGAAGGTAAATGCAACTGGACGTACATGTAACGAAGCCCAGATTCTGATGCTGGAAAAGTTCCAAAAGGGTCCTCACAGACCCACTGGCTTCCAGGTCTGTCAGGAGCCCCAATTCATGGTGGAAACTTCCCAGAACCAAAAACACCAGGGGATTGCAGCTTGGTGTACTGGAAGAGATAGTCAAAATAAAACTGTTATGATTCTTTACCCAGATAAAATTTTGACTGTAGAGTTTTACAGTATTGAAATTGAAAATGAAACTATACATCTAGGGGTCTGGGATATAAAAAGGAAATTTATAAACCAATCAAATAAATAAACAAGGACCCACATTTCTGGCAAGCTCTTATACATCTGTGCAGATTTGCAAAACGGGAAATGTTTCCCAGCCTCCTAAAATTTAAATTGCTGGCAAGTAGGTTAGAAATTTCTCCCAACATCTCATTTTCTGAGGCTTTTATTGTCAGGAATCCCTGCTGGGCCTCCTCTTCCAGATGAAGACACCTGTTCAACTTTGAAACACTGTATGCAGATACTCGGACTGACCTAGAACTAGCTAACTTCCTGCCACAACCTCCTGGAGTGCTGTTTTTAGGTTTGCACAAACGTTCCCACCCAGTCTTCTCTGTAACTTTGCTCTCAGGAACCCTGAAGCTTATTCCTGGCAGGACACAGGCCTTCTGCCAGGGGTTACTAAAAGCAGAAGCTGCTTTGAGAGGCTGCCACTTGCCCTCTGGTGGCGCAGCCCAGAAGAGCATGCTGAAGCCTGGTACCCTGGTCCAGGACGCAGTGCCTTGGCTACTTCCTCTGGTGCTGCCACCTCGCCTGTGCCCAGGGTAGCTGATGATGACTGAAAGTTCTGGAGAAGAGGCTTTCCTGGGCTGAGTCCAGGAAAGGATGGGAGGAGGCGGGGAGGCGGGGAAGTGGGGGGGGGGGTGGGGGCAGGAAGTCCCTGCTGAGCTAGAGCTGCTCTGGCTCTTTAGGGAGGTCGGAAGAGGCGCCTGCGGGAGTGCTGGGCACAGGAAAGAGCAACCTGGACCCTCCCTCACCGACGACTCTGGCCCTGGGGAGTGTGGGTGAGCATGTGGCACCAGAGGGCTTGTGGGTATCGCGGGTGCATTTGTTAGACAGTTGTCAGAGCTCAAGGGCAGTGGCTGCGGGGCTCCTTTCAGTTTCATTTGGAATTGAGTTATGAAGTATGAACAGTTCAGAATGATTTTCTTGAAGTTTTGCCGCGGTTTAATTGGCAGGTCTGCTGGTGTGTACTGGAAAGTGTGGTGAAGTGAAACAGTTTTAGTCAAATGTGAGAAAATGAATATAGTTGATATTGGATAAATCTTACTGAGTGTGGGGGTTACCATAGGTGGAGGGGAAATTTGCTTATACTAGTATTTTATTTTATTTATTTTGATTTTTTGAGAAATGTCCCTCTTTAGCCCCAGCTGGCCTGGAACCCACTATATTGATCAGGCTGGCTTCAGACTCCGGGAGATCTGCCTGTCTCTGTCTCCCAAGCGCTGGGATTAAATGTGTGTGCCACATGCCTGCTAACTTTAATATTTTACGGGAACTGAACTGACCAAGCTGGTCAGTTCTTTCTGTTCCCAAGACATGAAATTTCTCCATGCCATTCAGTGCTTTGCTTAAGTTCCTGAGTTCCTTTGTGGGATTACTCTCCGAATAATTAACTTTTCATTCACTTATCAATTTATTATAACCCATAGTAAATAATACTGAGAAAGGTTGAAGAGAACAGAAAAAACAATCAAAAAAGATTATAAATTTACCAATAAAAAAAATCTGTAATGTGCATGTACATGCACATACATAAATGTTGACTAGGAGTTTTAAAAAGATATGCTTGTTTTTTTTCCCTGATCTTAGCTGTGAGACATATCTCTGCAGTGAGTGTGATGTTGGCCTTGGGTTTTTCTAGATATCTCAAAATCAAATTGAGGAAATACCTTTCTGTTCTAGTTTTCCGAGAATTTAAGTTTTTATTTATTTACTGTATGTGTGCACGTGCATGTGGGGGTACATGTGTGACATAGCATACATTCAGGGGTCAGAGAACAACTTTTGGGAGTCAATTCTCTTTTTCCTTTATGGATTTCAGGGATTAAACTCAGGTCGTGGGGCTTTTAGGACAAAAATGTTGACCTGCTGAGCCATATTGCTAACCATACTGAAAATATTTTAAATCAAGAATGGATTTTAAGTTCTGTTAAATATTTTACTGCCCTTCCCTGATATTATTATATGATTTTTATTTCTATTGATGTGATTTCATTGAATTTTGAATGTTGAGCCAGTTGTGCATTGCCTAGAATAAACCCCGTGTTTACCATACATATATGTATGCATTATTAGATTCAAATTATAAGTATTCTGATGAATGTTTTATGCCTGTGTTTATGAGAGTGGATTGCCTTTGCCTACTTCTGTTGTTTAGCATTGGCCTTCCAGAGTGGAGAAGTGACCTTTCTGCTTCTATTTTCAGGAAGATATCTTGGAGAATGATGGTATCTTCCACAAGTACTTGATAAAATGCACAAGAGAAACTACCTGGGTCCAGTACTTCCTGTTTTGGAAATTTATTTATTATTTATTCAGATGAACATTAACGTATTTGAATCACTTATATGTCCCACTTGAGTTTTCAGTTTTTGTTTTTGTTCTTTTTTGTTGTTGTTGTTGTTGTTTTTGTTTTTCTGTTTGATGGTTTGTATTAGAATATGCAACGACATAAGAAGTTCTTCCACTCACAGAACACATTGTTCCTACCTACATTTGTGAGGACAAAGGAAAAGGCAGAAGGCACAGAAAACTTTACAGGAGCCTTTTTTTTTTTTTTTTTTAACTTTATGGGTATTTACCATGATATTCTTTTTTTAATTGAGCTTTTAAAATTTCATATAACATTTCCCACTCAAATACAGACCCCCTCCCCATCCATACCTCCCCCTATCCTCTCACTGAACCCTGCACTCTGCCATATATGCTGAGTCCTATTCGTTCAGGTGTTTGTACCCAAACGTCCTTCAGTGTAACTGCGTCCACTGGAGTCTAGTCAGCCCATCTAGTGGTCGTATGTAAGTCATACTCTCCCTCATCCAGCAGCAACCAGTCTCAAATAGTTCTCAATCTAGTGCTGGCCTGCCATCTATTTCTCACCTCCCCTTTGGGCCCTTGTTTAATTGAGCTGATATGGGTCCTGCATTTGACACCACCGCTGCCTCAGGCTCACGTGAGCAAGCCTCCAGTGGCCTAGAAGCCTCTACCTCCTTGTGTTCATGAACCAGCCTTGGCTCTTACACTCTTTTGGCCTCCTCTTCCACAATGGTCCCTGAGCCATGGGTGGGTGATGTTCCATATAGAATTCCTATCCTATACTCCACAGTCTCTTATTCTTCCAAACTTGGCCAGTTGTGGCCTTCTGTGTATATCTCACTCTGATGTACGTGGAGGCCTCACTGGTGAGAGTTGAAGGGTGCCTTAGCCCTCATTCTACCCCTTTTTCCACTACGTTTAATAAGCCTTGGTTGTAGGATTCGACTGCATATGTGTCTCCTAGTACTGGGCATCTCCCATGTGTATGTTCTCTGTGCCTGACCACATGTGCAACTCTGCAGTAGCCTCCATCTGATGCAAAAAGAAGCTTCTTTGATGAATGCTGCACGGCATGTTATTCACTCTAAGGGAGGTCTCTTCTATCTGGCACTGCATTCCCTGCCAAGCAGTTCCTAGGTATACACATGCATTAATGTTCAGACACTCTACGTGCATTTCTCATAGGGTTTCTAGGGCATCACTTTTCCTTCTAGGTTTCCTAGCCGCCCCCTCCCCCCAAAAAACTCACTTATCTCTACTCTTTTTCTCACATCCGGCCTCCCTCCTCCCTCCCTTCCTAGTCACAGTGCCCCATTATCCCCACCCTCCCCCTAATACCTCCTGACTTCCACCATCTTTCCTTTCCCGACTTCCCTCACTCCCCCACACCATGGTCCCTTGCATGTCCTCCCTCCTCCCCTCCCTGCCTATTACTTCCACTTTTTCCACCTCAGATACATCTGTTCCCTACTATCCCCCTTTCAGGTTGGTTCTTTTCCTTTACCTCCATGTATCTATCCTTTGCTGTTACCTGGCTCCTGGTGTTACATCAGGATTTGTATACTCACATATAAGGGATTGGTGCTACAATCCACAGTGAGGGAAAACATACGTTGCTTGCTTTTCTGTGTTTGTGTTACTTCACTTAGTGTAACACTCTGTAGCTCCATCCATTTACCTGCAAATTTCATAATTTCATCTTTTCTTACTGCTGAGTAGAACTCCATTGAGTAGATAGATGTACCACATTTTCATTAACCATTCGTCAGTTGAGGGCCATTTAGAT